GTGTCCCCCATTTCTGTGCGACTCTCTCTCTGTGGTTGATGAGTTGTGGCCGGCAACTATCAACACCGAAGCTTCCGTTGGGCGCGGGAGCGCTGCCGATTGGTCGCTGGCGATCCTGTCAACGGAAAATTCTAAACAGGAAAGCAGCTGGTAGGAAGTAGGATGATGACGGAGCATAATGAAGTGGCGTCCGATGAGCCAGCATGTTAAAAAAATTTGCTGACAACGTGAAGAGAAAAGGGACCTGGGTATTTCTTTATTATGGACAGGATATTGCATTTGCATGTTGTATATATATACCTGGAAGAATCTGCAATGATTGTGTGTGTTGTGTGCATGTTCTCTACCGTATCGTGTACACGCGTTTGTTGCAGCAACAATATTTATTATCTGTCGGTCTATTTTTTTTGTCAGGGTCGTTTCTGTCATTATATTTGGTTTGCAATAAATAAAACAGAAAAATAATGTGAAATCAGAAAGTTGCTGACTCCTCACGCCTGCTGTCATGTTCGCATTTGTCAGCAGCGCCGGGACTCACGGCTGGTGCCTGACGGTGGCCCCCCAAGGCAAGCCGAGAGGGATGAACAGAACAGCAGCAAGGGAAGTCACAAAAAAATAATAATAATAAAAGCAGCAAGGGAACCGGAAATGGTGTGGTCCAGAGAAACCCAGTCCCCAGATAAATGGAAGCTGCCGCGTGATCATAGTAGTATCTCTCAAATGAAATGTTAGTGTAAACATTATGACTGTACAAAAGAAAAAAAGAAGAAGGGTATTTTGGTTATTCATGCGTTTTGTCGACCAGAAGAAGTTGTTTTGCCACATGATTTAGAAAAAACAGAATTAACTTCATTAACAGAGCTGCTTTTCGATCTAATCCAAAGCCAAAAAAAACTGATTTAATGGTGAAAATGAGTCATACCAAATTTATTATCTGTCCATATACGGAGAGTATATTCATTTGCAATAAATAAAACAGAAAAATAATAAGTCATTGCTGACTGTACGCCACCTCCATTTATAATAATTTTATATACTAATTTGACGATAATGTCAATACATATTTAACGATAGTTGGAAGTTACTATAATATATAATAAAAGAGATATTTACCATAAATGTTATAGTAAATCCACTCCCCAGATAAAGGAAGCTAGTATAAATCTCTAAATTAAATGTTAGTGTAAAGTAATTATCTGTACAAAAGCGAAAAAACGAAGGGTATAAGTTTATTTTATATCAGAGGATTGTGTGTGTGTTCATATATATATATATATATATATATATATATATATATATATATATATATATATATATATATATATATATATATATATATATATATATATATATATATATATACACACGAGGCTATATATGAGAGGGACCGGCTGGGTTTGGAGGCCACGGAATGTATAGAGGAGGGTCGTAAAGCGGCATTGCATGGTACCTTCCTTTCGTATGTCTGCTGCTGTCTTGGTCTTGCTCGCCAACCTTTAACTTTTTGACCCTGTCCTGCGTCACGCCAGCCAGCCATGGGGAGAAGAAGGCCGGCCGGCGGCAGGCGGTCGGTGCAGTGCGTTGGTACTGAAGCTAGCTGCCGCTGCTTTCTTCGTCCCCGAGGTTAGAAAACGAGCGGCTGCCGTGCTCAGCTCGTCGTCACACTCGTCAAGGACAAAGTTACCGCCTTACCGCCACCCGCACCACTCCAGTGTCAAGCAAGTGCAGCAGCACTTGGACTTCCCGGGCGGCAAATCCGGCCGCTTTGCGACCCGCGTGAGCTCCCAGAGTCCTCCGATCTGATCCTCGCAGCACGCAGGTGAACTTCAGCTTTGAACTTCGGAAGGCAGGCGGCAGGTGCATGGAGGAAAGCTTTATTTATTTGCACAAAGATGGTGGCGGATTGGATTGGCTCTCTGCGTGCACTGCAGGTGCAGGGCAGAGATTGGAAGTTACACAAAGATGAGTAGCTTGTCTTGCCTTGCTCGGCAAGAGCAGCTGTATAGTTGGCAGGTTCACAAACTCTTGCTTCGCCTGGCAGCCTAGCTCACCCATTGGCGAAGCTAGAGAAAGTCATAGGGTGATGTACTTACCTTGTGGGTGCATAAACATATCTGCTGAGGTGCATATATGGTGAAATTTTAATCAATCTCACTGCTTTTACATTTTTTGGGTGGTGCATTAGCACCCCCTACACATTACCTGCCTTCGCCCCTGAGCTCACCCCATCAAGGATTTCCTCTTGTCAGCTCATGAGAGCCAAATCGGCTCGCCCCCACGTGGACAAGGTTATCTTTGCTTTGTTGGGCAAGGCTCTGGCCAGGTGAGGCAAGATCAAGAAAAGTTCCATGCAGGCCAGGTGCTCTCGTTCCCCCACTAGAATTAATGGACCTGTTTCACTGTTTGGCATGACCAATTGCGGATTCACTGTAGTCAGTGAAACCCTCATGGCCTGTTTGGAGTGCCTCGTTCTAGCTCTCGTTCTAGCTCTAGCTTTTGCTCTAGCTCCGACACTGTAATAAAGCCGACAAAGCCCTAAAAATGTAATTTGGGAGACGAGTTATCCGTGAACCCGCAAATAGACTTAATTTTACGGATTACTAGCATAACCCACAAAGATTAAGTCTATTTTATGGTTTCACGGATGACCTGTCTTGCATCTCGATCTACTCTTTCTATTTTTCTATTACCTCCATCGGATACAATCTTGGGGGCCTGGATTAGATTATTTTTTTAAGTTAACACTTATGGCTTATTTTAAATTATAAGTGCTATTAGATTTTTGTATATATATGGTCGAATTTAAAATTGGTTGACTTTCTAAAACGCTGGGATAGAAGATAGGAAATGTTCTTTTTGGCGGTAATTAGAGACTTCTTTTGTCTATATGCTATCACCCTCATTTTGGCTTTTTCTAAGTATATATAGCTTTTATTATGCATACGATATATCTAGTTATGTATCAAAAAAGACAAAACAATCAATAAATTCGAATGGAGAGAGTAGTAATTTAGAGTGCTTCAAGCGCAAGAGCCTTTTTTTTAGGGAATGCACAAGAGTCAGGTGCCACGCGAAAGCGGCACCAAAACGGGCCTTTAAAACCAGGCTTCATAAACTTGGGCTCTTGGATGCTACTAAAAATACTGGAACTGCTAGACGAGACGAGCCCTTGGTGGACCCTGATCGAGCTCTCGCTGGCTTGGTTTGGTTGGTGACCCACAGTCACAGCGCAGCCACAGCGAGCATGCAGAGACGAACAAGGGGACGCGATGAATGGGTGCTGGATCATGTCATGGATTGAGCACAGCAGCTAGCTAGGGACAAGAACAACAAGGGGAGGGACAGAGATTGGTGGGCAGTGCAGCCGTGCAGGCGATATGATACGGATGCCGAGGCTTACGCCCGTGCCGCCGCTGGACCGGATGGAACACGACACGAGCCGATGTGCGCTCCGCTCCGCTCCGGATGGAACACGATGGAAATCGCCAAAAGGATAGGGAGTAGGCGTACGTCCAGGAAAGAATATAATTATGGGATCCGTATTTTTTATATAAATTTAATTAAAGTTCAAGCTACTTACTCGTCGGAAGCGAGAATTATATTCTTTTCCGGACACAAACACATAACAGAACATAATGAAATGACCAGGATGGCAGCATGGGTTCGCATACGGAGACGATGGGCCGAGCCAACTGATGGTTACCACCATCTCAATTCGGACTTCCAATGGACCCGCCTCTTCTTAAGTTGGAGCCAAAAAGCCCATCTCTCAGTCAGCACCACTTCGCAGCCCATCTAAGTTAGCAGTTTCCAGGCCACAAGCCCTCAACCAAGAAAGAAACAAACGCGAACGATCTGTGGGCTGTGGTCACGCCGACACACATATATGAATATTCTACCTTCCTCACTATGATTTTCCTTGTCAGACTCCAAAACCTAATATCTTATTACCACTCAACTTTCAAAACCATTTAAATTATCTTCCTATTCTAGATTATGATGGTTTCAAAGATGAATTTGATTTTTTAGTTTTAAAAAACTTAATAGGGTTTTTAAACCACGGAAAATATCTCTAATCTAAACATTTAAAAATTCCGGAAAAAAATCTAGAGATAGCTTGCGATATGACAAGTGCAAATAAAATATTTAGAGCTCTTGAAAACATCTTTAGAAACTTCAAAAAATGGCTTTGGCTATACAAAAATAAGAAAAATATCCAAATACATCTAGAAAATTCCCAAAACATTCTAATAGGATAAACATGTTTTAAAAAAATTGCACGGCAAAAATATGAGATGCAACAAGCAACAATGCAACATACATCTTTGTGCTTTGCAAGCTGTGTACCATGTACACCTCGTACATTTGTAACCTTTGTTCTATTCCTTTTTTAATACAAAAAAGGTTGGGGAATCCCCCTGCAGAGCTTTATAAAAAAAACAATGGAACATACATTAATGTTGAATGTATTCATACAGCTTGCATATTATGTTTTTTTGTTGCAAAAGTTTTCAAAATACATTTAAATATCGATTATAATGTTTTAGTGATTTTCTAAAATTTTCAATATTCTATTCCATTTTTATAGAGCTAAATAATTTTTTATTTCAAGATGCCCACACTCACTGTGCGTCACCTATCAGCCACCGGATACTGGAGAACTGAGATTTATTAGCCATATCAAGCCTAAACGACGACCATGCTTAGCCCAAAATTGAAATATGCAGTACATTATTTAAACCCCAATCATTCAACCCCTAAACCACATAAACGCCACTTCACGCAATCGATTTGTGAAAGTGAAACACATATGGTAAATCTGGAGAGCAACGAGATTACACTGACTGGTAAAAATGGAAAATAAAAGCTAAATCACTAATCACCCACACCAACAGCCGTGCATGACACCCCACAGCCGTAAAACGCAGGTTAAACTAAACGTACGTAATCCGAATCCGGGCCCCGCGCAGACGAGCAAACAGCAAGCTAATCCCAGCTAATCAAGCGGCGGTGCAGCGCTCGCGCGCGAAGCCGACGCGTCCATTGGGCACGTCGAAGAGGACGCGGTGGTTCTGCTGCTGCATGCTGGCGATGACGTTGAGCACGGTGTTGACGCCGTCGGGCGCCGCGGCCATGGCCAGGCAGCTGATGGTCCCGTACGTGCTATGGATAACCACGTTCTCCACCGGCAGTGTCACCTGCATGCCGTCAAACAGCAGCGTCACGGGCGGCCACGCCACGGCGGTGGTGTTGAAGCACGTGTCAAACCCTCCCAGCGAGGACACGGGTGCGCCGACGCGGCGCCGGACCTCGTCCCGCACGGCCACGTACGCCGGCGCCACCAGCCGGGTGAACATGGTGCCGGAGTCCAGCACGGTGCCCGCCCCCGTCGCCGAGTCGAACGCCAGCGCCGGCGGTGGGATGGGCACCACCTTCTTGCCCACGCGGATGCCGGTCATGTTCACGTAGTAGAGCGACGACCGGTGCGGGTTCGCCAGCAGCGGGGTCGTCTTGATGCGCTGCGGCTGGCCGTTGCGCCCGAGCCGGAGCGTCCCGGAGAAGTTGAGCGACTTGAAGCTGGGGAGGCAGTACGAGAAGGTGGCCTGGTACATGTCCCTGGTCTGCGACAGGAACGACAGCGGGCCGCGGCCGTGCCGGTGGCCCTCTGCAGGCACCCGAAGGTGTAGGCCTTGACGGCGTCGCCGGCGACGGCGAGGGAGTCCTGCGACAGGCCGCCTGCAGCGAGGAGTCGGCGTAGGTGAGGCTGAAACCGCAGGAGGCCCTGCCGCCGTCGCCGGCTGGGCGGGCACGCCGCGTTGGGCGCCTGCGCACACAGCGGCGAGCCGCATGGCACGGGGCGGTACGAGGTGGACGCGGTCGGGTCGAATGGCGGCGCGGACGACGTGGGGCAGCCCGCGCAGCCGGCGCAGGGGATCCAGGCAGCGTCATTGCTGGTGTCGACGGCCAGGAGCAGCTGCTGCGGTGGCGTGCCGAGGCGGGCCCGCACCACGTACGTGGGCGTTTGCAGCAGCTGCCGCCCCGACGCGATGGGCGCGTACGCGCGGGCGCGGCCACGCGCCGCCAGCGAGTCTAGGTACAGCAGCCGCGACACGTCACGCGACGCCTGGTCCGCCAGGAACCCCGCCCACGACGGCGCCGCCGTCCCGGGACCCAGCGGCGAGCAGGGACCGAACGCGTGCGACACCTGCAGCGTGTTCCCGGCGTCCGGCGGCGTCGCGGGGCACGACGAGCTCGAGCTCGAGTGCGACGCGGCCGCGCCGCCCGCGACCACCAGCAGCAGAAGCACCGACAGCATCCTAGCACCGGTCATCTCGTGCGCGACTGCAAAAAAATGCCTCGACGCGTGGCGACGAAGCGAGTGTGCGAGACGGACGGTGGCGCGACGCCGTGGGCTATATAGCGGCGGGGCACGTGAGCGCCACTGAGGACTGGCGACGCGGGCAGAGCGCGCGCGCCAAGGCGCGGCCGTGAAGTTTGGCGTGGACGGACGTATCGCCGTACGTACTGCTGGCCAGGCTGCAGCCACCCGCGACTGTGCACGGCTCGCCGGGGACCAAGCTGCGGCAGCTCGTGAGCGCAGGCTGTCGCTTCGGCCTGCGGACGCGCTCCACGTCGATGTCCAGTTTCACGATGGCTCGTCACAGACTCACAGGAGGCTTGTCTTGGCGCGGCAGCGCGCACGTGGCATTGACGGTGGTCGCAGGACCAGGAGGTGGACCTGGCTCATGGACTCCCGTCTCTGTGCCGAAGGCCGGCCGGTGCATGGACATGGTGGACTGAGTGTACCATCCGCGATGCACTCTGGGCCGGGGACGGTAACCGACTAACCGTGTCCGTGAGAGAGCTAGCGATCCGGACGAGACGATCGAAGATGCCGAATCGAGAATGGCGCTGCGGAGTAGCCGCCTAGGTTAGAGCATCTCCAATCTCAACTCGACGTCTATATAATTTTAGCAAAACAAAAAAATAGCCTCCAATAATTTATAAAACAACTTGGCATCAATAGCAACTTGGCAAATCTTTCCTCCGCGCCCAAAAATATACGCGCGCGTATACGGCTTGGCATCTGGGCCTCTTCGTTCGTTTAGCGGGGCTCTTCGTTTTGTTAACGGGTTTTTTTATTTTACCAAGTCAAAAATGCTAAATTCTTAGAGATGAATTATTTTTTTATTTGACATATAATTTTAGGAGTTGGTAAATTACAAGATTTACCAAGTAAAATTTGACGAACTCTTGCATATGCTCTTAGAGACAGAAATGGATCCGCGTCGAACACGTCGAGGCGAAAGGTATATGGGCCACAAGCCCACAGAGCCTGTGGTCGCCGTAGCGCGGGCCCGTCGGCCTGCAGGTGGGCCACGGGCAGGCGACCACGCCGGCAGCCCGGCATTGGCGGACGACGTGCTCGTCAGTTTTTTTTATGACGTGTCAGTCGTCATCAGTGAAAGGAAATAAAGCTGGTGCTGTGGAGTTGGCTACGGCGGCTTTCACCGCCGTCTCGGGCTCACGCACGCTCCCGCCAAGGCGAAGCCGTCTGCTTGTGGTTGTTTCGGGCATCTGGCCACACAGGTACGGCGCGCGCACGCCACGGTCCTTGGGATCTTGGAGGGGTGTCGCCTGTGGGCGGTCGGCGGTCGGCACTCGGCACACCGTGCATCGGATCGCATCCAAACCAGATCGACCAAGCACTGTAGTTACCGCCTTGCCTAGCGCTAGCGGCGTGAGATGGATGGGTGCCTAGCAAGGCATCGCATGGGTCATGACTCATGACTGCCCGCTGCCCCCGTACCCATATATGTGTTGGTATATATAGCGGCTATTCCGTAAAAAAAGCAATATGTTCCAGCCGCATGTATGAACCAATGAAACTAACAGCCTGTTCGGAAGGCCGTATCGTATCGTGGATTATTTACTGCTGGCTGGTTTGATGTGAGAGAAAAATACTGTTTCCGACTGGAAATTTACGATCGTTTACAAGCAAGCGAACAAGCTGTCGAGATGGAGGAGGAAGTCCAACTTGGGTATCTCTGAATCACTATGGCCGAGTTAGGGACTATTTTGTAGAGCTCTTTCTGATTTTGATTCTTTGTGCCTATGTGGAAGCTGATTTTATGAAAAAAGTGACTCTGTGGCTGAATGATTCTTTTTTATTCTTTAACATAAATTCTCAAAATCACAATGGAGAATCACTTCATAGAATCAGGAGAAGCTATTTTTTTCAGCTCTCAATTTCTTAGTTCATTTTAGAGAATCGCTTCACAAAATCGGTAGTTTCTCTTTGAAAAACTAATTGGTAGAGCTCCTGTTGGATTCAGGAGAGAATCAACTCTATAAGCTCTGCCAGCCTTAAAGTTGTTCTGATTTTTTAGATACATATATAGCTTTTATTATGCGCCTAACCTACTTATCTATTTAAAATTATAAGAAACGTTTTGACTTATGCGCTTACATATACAGTATGTCTAGATACATTCATACATAGTGAAGGTTATGTGTCTAAGAAACCAAAATATTTTATAATTTTGAACAGAATGAGTATAATGTATATCTAGGTACATACAAAAATTATATGTCTAGAAGAAAACTAGAATAACTTATGATTTGCATTTTACAATAACAGACACAACAATTTCTACTACCAAATAAGCATCGAAATGAATCGATAAGATCCAGACAGTTTCAAGCTAGGGACAATAAGATAGAGCATCATTTAAGAAAAAAAATCGAAACTAGTTTTAATAATTTTTTGAGGTAAAGTGATTTTTTAAGGTTATAAACAATATATTAGGTTTTTAATTGCATTATTTTCCATGTAAAAATATTTATATGAATGTTTGAAAATTTATTTTTAAGAATTTTTTATTTTTAAAAAAATATTTCTAAGGAAAAAGTCCATTTTTGAGCCTCCAACTATGGCTGCAGTTTGTTTCTAGCCCTCTAACTCGAAAAACCAGACACGCGCAGTCTCTTAACTCTCAAAACCAGTTAAATTTGGCCCTCGCGCCCATTCGACAGCGGTTTCGGCCCACTCATCCCGCCACGACCGCGGTTTCGGGCCAGTCTTCATGTCTGACGAGCCGGACTAGCGGGGTCCACACCGCGTCCTGGTACTCCCACGCTGCCTCCTTGGGCGCTGCCTTGTACCGGTGCCGCCTGGTGTCCTCGCCCACCGGCTTCGCTAGCTTCGAGCCCCGGGCGCGCATGTAGATGTACCAGTACGCGTTCATGGCCATGACGTGCGACGCCACCGTGTCCGGGCACACCGCGTCGCCTCGACGTGCCGGTGCAGAGCCTCCAACACGCTCGCCATCGCCTTGGCAAGCTGGGCGCGGTCACCCTTGCCCGTGTCCTCGTCCTCGTCGCTGCGCTCCAGATCCACGCGCAACGCGGTGTCTATGAGTGCGCGGTAGTCGTCGGACGCGAGGCACTTGAGGTAGTTCACGGTGTACTGCACGATCTTGGGCACGTGCCCGACGTCGGCGTCGGCGTCAGTGACGTAGAGCGTATCGATGCGGAGACCGAACACCAAGAACACGCCGGACGCGGCGCGCTCCAGCGCGTGCTCCACCTCGCATGTGCGCTCGCGGATGGCGGCCAGCGTGGCCGACTCGCTGGAGAAGAGCTCGTCCAGGCGCTCCCTCTCCCGGGCCACCGCGTCAATCATGTCGAGCTGCTTGAATAGACTCTACGGTTCACGCGCCGCGACGGCCACGCCATCCACGAAGCAGAAGAACGCCGCGATGTTGCGGAGGGCGATCTTGGCGAAGCACTCGGGCCAGACCGGTCGTGGCAGGGGCTCGAGCACGTGCGCGCAGAGCCGGCGCTCCACGGCGAGCACGGAGGCGATATCCACGTGGAAATGCGGGCTCCATAGCGCCATGGCCGACTCCAGCGACTCCCACTCCATGGCGTTGATCTCCTCCGAGGTGTACGACTTGAGGTACGCCGGGTTGAGCCGCATCATCGCCTTGGTCGCTCTCCTGTACCTCGTCTGAGTGACGTCACCCACCATTATTTCGCCACTCGCCATCGCAAATCGCCATCGCAAGGTCAGAGAGGTTAGAAAATGATTCACCGTGGCGTAGATGTCAAGGCGGATGTCCAGCGATGCGTTGCCAACGAGCGTCCCGGCCATCCTTGCGGTGGCCTCCACCTCGTCGCCGCTGCCCACCAGTACCGATCGTGCCTCCCTCGGCGCCGGCGACGTCGTTGTCCACGGGCGCCGGTGTTTCAGCCGAGGAGCAGCGCCTCAAAGAGCTCCCCGAGGCCGAGGAGAGCATCGTCGAGCGGGCCCTCGAAGCGCATCTCCTCGGCTTCTCTCATACACCGCGCGCAGTGCCGCGGCGGCCTCGGTCAGCCTCCGGACGTGGCCTCGGCCGGCCACCTCGGGCGGCCGCCTTGGCCCGGCCTAGGAAACCGACCGCCTCCTCCACCCTCCGGACGGCCTCTTTGCCGCGCGCCACCACTTCCTTGATGGCGTCCCGCAGCTGGTCCACATGGTCGACGAACACGACCGCACTCTCGGCGTCGCCTGGGTTCGCGGGTGGCGCGGCTTCCTCGCCGAGCGCGGACACGCGGCGAAACGCCGCGAGGAGGGGCTCGGGCGGCGCGACGGCGTGGTCGATGCGCGCTCTCAGCGCGCGTGCCGCCACGGCTTGGGACTGGGGGTGGTGGGAGGACGACGGCAAGGCGCTGGACAGGAGCTCGTCGAGGCGGTCACCGATGGCGTCGATTTCGACCTCAGCGTCGGCTGCGGCTGAAAGCACCGAGACGATGGAAGCTCGCGACGTGGACCCGGCTCGTCAGACATGGAGACCGGGCCAAACCGCAATCGTGGCGGGTTGACTGGGCCGAAACTAGGGTCGAATTGGCGCGAGGGCCAATTTTAACCGATTTTGAGAGTTAAGAGACTGCATGTCTGGTTTTCGAGTTAGAGGGCTAGAAACAAACTGCAGCGTTGGATGGCCAAAAATGGACTTTTTCCTATTTCTAATCCTATTTGCTCCTCTGAACTTTTAACTTAGTTCCATTTACCTTCGGACGTGGCACCACTTTAGCACAAACTACCATTAAAATCACCAAAGGTAGAAAATAAATGGTTTTAAAAGTTGAGAAGTAGAAAGACTGGTTTTATGGTTTAGGGAGAAAAAATCGAAGAACTCAAATCGGACGACCCATAGCTGAGGAACGTAAGTTGGTCTTTTTTTCACGACAAGCCCGGCCCATTATTAGGATCTCGCAGCGGCGCCTCCTCCGTCCGACCGTCCCCGGCTCCGACTCAGGCCTTGTTTAGATACCAAAAATTTTGGCAAAATGACACTGTAGCAGTTTTCGTTGTTATTTGGCAATTAGTGTCCAATCATAGTCTAATTAGGCTTAAAAGATTCGTCTCGTGGATTTCGTCTAAACTGTGTAATTAATTTTATTTTTTATTTATATTCAATGCTTCATGCATGCATCCAAAGATTCGATGTGACGGAAAATCTTGAAAAATTTTGCAAAATTTTTTGCAACTAAACTGGACCTCAGATCACTTTACCCTTTCCTGCCCGGATCAGGAGGAGAGTTTTATTTTTTTATTACAATTACAAAAAGCAAAACGTTTGAGCGTATTGGCGCGCCCGCCGAATCTCATCAGGCCTTAAGTCACGGAACATGGATATCAGGAGGTGAGTTGCCCTAGGCTCAACCCTAACCCGTAGGAAAGGAAGAAGACCCTGCCTCTCGATCTTGGCAGACGGTAGGGATCAGAGTAGTAGGAACAAAAAGAACCCCTCGCCCTCTCCAGATTTGGGGGCCGACGGGCAAGGGTGTTGCAGCAGCGGCGGTTCGGACGGTAGGAATGCAGGGCTCGCTTACTCCCACAGATCCCGCCATGTTCGCTTGGCTCATAAGTCGTATTTTTTCAATCAACGAACAGTATTTTTTTCTCACAACAAATCAGTCAACGGTACTTTCAGTTATGACTTATCGGCCAAGCGAACGGAGCATCCACTTGGTGTTACATCGGACGACCATGGTGAACAACCTGACAAGATTGTCCACGACGGAGAAATCGAAGGCCTCGATTGGAGTGATGCTCAGCTCAGAGAACAGATCCACGTTTATATGGACAAGTTGAACTTTTGTCTCCCTGATGAAGATGATGATTTTTGGTCTGTCTACGATGATCAAGAACCTGAAAAGCTCAATGAACGGCTTGCCCTGCACCACATCAGAGCTCACAAGGTATATATTAATACTAACACATTACACATGGGATGTGGGAAGACAATGCAAATATTACTTTCTGCATATTCGAGTTCATGCCTCCACCCTGGTTTGTTTTAATTTACTTTCTGCACCTTCCATAGATATCAGAGGGAGCACTGCTTGAGGAACTGGTCGATGAAAAGTTGATTCAGGAGTACCCTCCAGCCATTCTTGACGACCAGGCATACTTTGCGTGGTATGAGAAAGATTTTGAATGGTACTTTGGTCCCAAGTGCTGCAGCTTTGTTGGCTTCCAGGACTACCAGCGTCTCGTCCTTCGTGAAGATGTACGTAATTTTACTCCTTGCAACTTTAATTTGGGACCGTGTAGAGCTTTTGGAAGTGTAGTCTCCTGTAGACTTAGACTCCTAGATTAGTTTACCCCCGATAGTGGTGGCTTGCTTGTCCAACGCTTTGCAAAGGCTCTTCCTCAATGTTCACCACTGAGCTGCTAACAAGACGCAAGTCACTGCAGTGGTATATATCTAGAAATTTAAGTGTAGGGTATAGTCATATACTCTCTCCTTCATTCAAAATTATAAGACATTTTGGCTTTTCTAGATTCATAGTTTTTATTATGCACCTAGATATATGCTATGTCTAGATACATGACAAATGCTATGAATTTAGAAATACCAAAACATTTTATAATTTGGGATAGAGGAAGTATCATATAAGTTAGTAATGGATGCACTTCATTTCTGGACCTGCATTTGATTCCGCTTGCGCTGTTACTAGCAAGCCATTTCTTACTGGCAATGTTTTCTGTGTGCAGACACATTATCTACACTGGGACGATTATCATAAAGGCCCCGTTCGCTTCGCTGAAAAAAAAAGCCAAACATTGTTCCGGCTGATTTGTTGTGAGAGAAAAACGCTGTTCGGGCTGAAAAAACAAGCTGAAAAAGACGGATTATAAGAGAAGCGAACATGGCCAAAACTTACATGACATACCAAGGGAACCAAGAATACGTCAAGTTCTATGAAACGGTATCAAATGAAACTAAGGTATGAATTTGGTGAGCAGCTGTAATTAACTGGTTATATGTCATCTTTGTTTGATGCCTTTTTTTGTTACACGCAGTGGCTTGAAAATTTTGTGGAAGCCAGCACGCATGAGGTAGGCATCCCCCAATAAGTATCATGTGGTTAATGTGCTAACTGAATGTATATTGTTGCTATAATCTCATGCATCACATTCTATAACTACTTTGGTTTTTAGTGGCTAAGGTACGAGACGTTGGCAATGTATAAAGCAATGAAAATCGCAGCAGGCTGTAACAATATTCTTCCAACTTTGATTTACACTGGCTTCAATGTAATGTGTAACAGAACCGGCCAAATCATAAGAACGTAAGTACAAAAACAATCACCGAAGCGATCACATTCCTGTACTTAAACTCCCATAATCCCGGTAGTCCAGAAATCACGAAGGATTTCAACCAACTCTCGACATACAAACCAAGATCGTAATGATTCAACACAACACATCATCCGTTACAACATTTCACAAGTACCATTCGGATTACATCCATCAGAGTTCAAATAAAATATTACAAACCAAGTTTGAATGTGCGGAAGCAACATAGTTTAGTACATAACTTCATAGTTTCAAATACATTGCCAGATCAGAGTCATGTCCCACAAAAACATTATCAGGTACGAGAACTAGTAGAGACCACGCCCAACGGTCTAGTCTTCATCCCAAAGAGGAGAAGGCGAGACTTGCAAACAACCAAAGAAGAACTGGTCATCCGCAATGTGTGGAGATAAACCCCGAGTACGAGAAGGTACTCAGCTAGACTTACCCGACAAAACAGAAATAAAAGACACCAAGGATTATGCAAGGCTTTTCAGGTGGGCTAGCTTGACACAGTTGCATAAAAGAGCTTATGAGTATAGTAACCAATTTGAACTTATTATCAAGCTTATCATTATTTACCTGTCCACTAGATTAGCACCTGTACTAGAACACTCACTTATTAGGAGCAAACAATATTAATCATAGCAGTGTATAATAAGGCATTGTCATCATCATATCATCATTTCCAAACCATTAAGTTATTAAGTGTATCTATATTGGAGATAAGCCCGTCAAGTTCTCACTAACCGGGAGACGGCGATTCAATCGAATTACAACTCAGTGAGGGGTATTCCTAACTCTCACCCCGCATACTTTGCAAGGGTAGCCGTGGGTCACCTTTGGAACATCTCAGAACCAAATTCACGGGTTCGATCAGCGCCAGCACTCTCAGAGATTATCCTTCTGCCAGAACGATCAGGACTTTTAAATCACCGCCCTTGGACTCACGCCTCGGCTCCCTTCCGAGGCGCACTTTATACTTATCGACTCCCGGCCGAGGTGAGCTACTCGGCCATGGCTCGGTCTTCGTGCGACCAACTAAGAGAGAGACATGCGTTCAACATGAACAAGAAACGCTCCAAGATCTAGTCCTTAAGCGACACAGACGGAGTCACTACAAACCGGCAAGCCTCCGTCCGGTCTTAATTTCAATTTAAGACTAGTTCTTTTCCACGATAGCAAATATAGCCAACCGTGCCACATGTATCTTCCTATATCTCGCAGGTGACAGGAAATCACCCGACTTCTACCGCGTTTAAGCAGGGCTAAGCACTACTCGAGCCTGAGCTACATAGGATTTAGGGTAACAATATCTGGACAAGGATTGGGTAACCAATGCAACAAGTGTTTGCATCCAACACATAAACTTAATGCAACAATATATATATATATATGTAAAAATAATACTGTAACTGCATTTCGAAAATTAGGAGGCTTAATATGCTCTGGGGCTTGCCTTTCACAAAGTTGCAAGGACGGTGGTCCGGGCACTCAACGGCGACCTCGTCTGGCACTTCTCTTGAAGGCTGCTCCTCCTGAATCTCCGACGTCGGCTGCTGCTGCTCGCTCGGTTCCTCGAATTCCAGCAGGGTTACTCCTTCCGGTACACCTATTGCATGCCGATGCAAAAGATAAATATCATGGATGCATAAGGAATGACATGATGCTCATGATAAATGAATCACAGTGGGTGTTTACGAAAACATCACTGGACACTCGTTTACCGAGTAATTAGCTCTATTCAAATCACTTTAAGCATGTATCTAACTTAACTTAAAGAACAAGAGCAACTTACCTAACTTGCATAACCTAAGATAAAGATGCTCATCTTCAGTTAAAGGCCTAACACCTAAGAACAATACCACAAACTTAGAAATAGTAAAGACATACTTAAAATAACAGTTAAAGCTTCATATGCAAACAAGTAGTTACTTAATTCAATCATAACCAGAGTTCTATAAATCCAAATGACTTGTATGAGGACATTCTGGAAAGCTTATGAAATGTTCTACAAATCAATGGTAAACAGCAAAGCATGATTCTGATGTTAACCAAATCAATTTCCAGCAAACCTAGAATCTGTCCCGCAATGACAGGGTTGCTAACTTAATTATTTAATGATGAGGCAAAAGCATAATTTGATCAATCCAAGTTTACCAACTTGTTTTTCATACCTAAGAAACATCAGAAAGTATAGTGTCAACTTCTAAATAATTTATTTAATATCCTTTTCCAATTTATTTAGTTAATTAGGTGATTTAAGCAATATATAGTAAAACTATTCATAAAAATCTACAAAAATTACAGTAGCTATCTCATGCTGCACATAGACTACCATAAAAATTTCAAAGCCATTGGGCAAACATAATTTGCTGTATCCAAAATAACAGGTGACATGTCTAATTTGAGCATAATTCGGAAACCTTATTAAAAAGTGTCAAGCAATAGATTTCCAATTTTTCCTAGCATCATTCTAGCATAATAATAGCACTTATCAAATTTCACCTTCACTGGATCTATAGAAAAATTATGAAAATTCACACAAGATCCACCCATTAATAAAAAGAAATTCTATAACTTAAAAACTACACATGCACTAGCTCTGAAATTTTCACTAGAGCTTCTAATAAGCAATAATAGACTACCCATAAAATTTCATAATTTTTGGACCACAGAAACTCAAGATAAAATTCAAACAAGTTTGCATGTATCCAAAAACACATTTCAAAGTCCTAATTAATTCATCCAGAATTTCTAAAACATGTGTCCATATAATATTTTTATTAAATACTAGACATTATCATGAACTCAACAAAATTGGAACCATAGCATTTGGATCTACCAACTAGGAGATATATATTTTTGAATATTAACACAAATCTATAAAATAATAAAGCAAAACAAATAAGAAAATAAATCACGACCGCTGTTGGGCCGGCCCGAAGGAACGACGGCCCCTTGAACACGCGGTCAAGGCGTGGCCCAAGATCTTGCGCCTTGCCCAAGTCATGGCGCGCAGCGCCCAGATCGCTCCCTCGCGTCGGAGATCGACGACCAGGCCCGCTTGTCAGCCCGAGATGAGAGGGGAGCGGAGGACGACGACGGCGCAACTCGCCGTCGGTAGCTTCTCTGGCGAAACCATCTACGCTACGACGTTCGCCTTGACCATGCGCCTCTAGTGGTGACCTCAATCGGTGCTAGGGTAGCGGCTAGAGGGTGTGGCGACGAGCACGGCGGCAAGACACCACGGCAGACGACGGCCGGGCTCCGAATCGACGGGCGACGACATGACCCCTAACGGTGACTCTCATGAGCTTCGGTGGTGTTCCTATGACCTAGCGCGAGGCGGAGGAGGGATGGGAACGGCGCGAGACAGTGGTCGCGTGGAGCGCCAACTCCGGCGAGAAATGAACACGGCGGCGGTGGAAGGAATGACGAATTCATCCTTACCAAGGCACAATCGACCGGCCGAGGGTGGGGGTGGCGAGGGGAATCACGGCGAGGCTACGAGCGGGATGGCCGTCGCATTTTGCGATGGCGAGCAAGCGGGGCGGCGATGCGGAGCAATGGCGGCGGCCGCGGACATCGACATGCTACGAGAGAAATGCAAATGAAGCGGCGACTTCGGTGGGCGGTGGTGGGTGGCTTCAAGACGCGCAGCGCGACGCCAGACGTCCACG